CCCCGTCCGGCGCCGCCGCTGAGGTGAGGGGAGCGGCCGCGCCCCGCCCTTATAGGCAGCGGCACCGCCCACTGCGCATGCGCCCGCCCCGCCCCCGGCCCCGACGGGGCGGCCCCGCGTTACCCCCCCCTCCCATCCTCCGCCGGCGGGGCACCCACTGCGCCCGTTTTGCGTTATTTCATCCCAAAGTGGCGGAGCTCCCGCCGCGGGAGGGGGTCGCGTTGGGCTGCGGCTGAGGGGGAGCGGCCCCCGCCCTTCGCCAGCCCAAAGCGGGGCCGCAGGGCAGCGCACACCGCCTTCCCTTCAGAGGGGCTGCCCCCCCGGCACGGCCGCCCGGGCCTCCTCAACATCGTCTCACTCCGAGCGGGGAAAATAAGAGTTGTCCCAAACTGACCAAAAAGGATGTGGAAAATGCACTTTTAAGGCTCTGAATTGCAGACTGCCCGTGCAGGTTCATCAGACCCAGCCATGGCACCGGCCCCGTGAGGTGACACAGGTCCCAGCAGAGCAGGGTGCTGAGCCCCACAGGCCAAGCTGCTGAGGGTTCATCACCACCCCACACCTAAGTGAGTGTGTAAGATCAGTGCCTTCTTACCTTGTCAATGCATTCAGTGACTGTCTCTTTAGAACAAAACCGTTTTAGCCGTTTCACCCCTACTGCCCCTCTAGAGATGGGCATTTTTCAGAAGTATTTATGTGCCTTCAGAGCACAGTGCTTTCCTGTCCTTAGGTCTGCAGGCCTCATTTGCTAAAACTCCTTGCAAACACCAGTGCTTCTACTTCGAAACAAGACATCAGAAATAGGAAAGGCACAAAAAGAGGGATAATACAGAAGCTTGCCTTCCGTCCTTACCAGCTCCCAGTTCAACAGGAGGAAAATCACAGACACCCCACCTTGAGTCTGAGCTCCTGAGCCACTCAGAGTCAGGTGCTGCAGAGATTTGTTGGGGCTGGCTGGGCCAGCACGTGTTGGACAGGAAGGAAACAAGAAAAAGGACAAATTAGAGGAAGCTGTACCAATAATAAGTAAGAAACAACAGTCCCTCTCCCTCCCCTTTGGGTGTCCATCTTTCAAATTCCCCTGGATAAAGCAGGAACACAGACCTGTCACCTTATTCTGTACCTCTATCTATTTTCGCTGGAACCTCTTTAGAGCTACAGAAAGGCAAACCCTGTGACAGGACTCTGAACTGCTGGGTATACAAGTGGCCCTTGCTGTTAGGGATGTTGTACTTCCAACCCATACTCTGCAACTTGCTACATTCCTGTGATGATAAGAGACACACAAAACTGGCAGTAACTCCTCTCCCCTTTTTCTTTGGACCCATTGGAGATAAACTTTAGACAGTGGATGGATGCTTTCTTCTCTTCCCCTTTGGGATATTCAGTTCCATTCTTGGTAGCCTAGTCAACAGTAAATGGATTTTATCTACTTGGGAACAAACAAGATTACCTGCTTTTCATTGCCCAGCCCTGGATGCCAAACAGGCATTCATGTGCCTTTCTCATTATATTTAGCTAGCGTATCTACTGTTGCATCATTACTTTGAAACAATTTTGAAACCTCAAAAATCAGGATTCAGGAATTACTTTGGCTCTGCAAGTTGTGTCCACAATGTTGTATATTAGGATTGCAAGTTAAAACTCATAACCTGAAGTTGTCTCCCTCCTTGTCCCAGAGAAAAGCTAGACCTCATCACCATGGTACTATCGCTTAGATCACTTGGCATGTAATAGCCAGGCCGTGCTTACCGCAAGAGCTGGATTTTATTGCAGTTTGTGCACTCACATATTGCAGCTTAACACTTCATCAGCAGAGATTCCTCTTCCTGGTAATATAAAATAATGGAATCAGCTCCCATCTGAAAGCCAAGCTGGAGTGCTTAGTTATTAAAAAAACAAAACAAAACCAAACCTGTTTGTTTTGTTGTTTGGGTTGTCTTTTAAACCTATAAACAAATTGTCTCGGAGTCAGAAATCCTTGCGGTTTTTACATTCATCCTGGCAAAGTGGCTTCTCAGGTAGAACTGCCTTTCCCTGTTGATAAAGCAATGCCTTGCTGCCCCCGTGTGAAGTTAGTGGGAAGGGAAGCACTGTTCAAACACCATGGCCAGGGTTTTTGTACAGAGAACCCTTGTAAGCAAGAGCACAGTTCTTACTGACAGCTCATACTGCTGCAATTCCCAAAGTGGGGATAGTTACCAGAATGTACGAGCTTAACTTAGTAGGGTTTCCTTTCTCTTCCTGCCCCGGTTATTAGCTATCTTTTACACTGGTGTAGCTATACCTATGGTAAGTATTATTTAAACACCATCCATATATTTAAAAGCCCAAACTGCTACTCCAATTGTGGTATTACTTGCGTAAGCTGGCTTGGTTTTTATTTCTGCTTAGGGAACATATTTAATAACTACATTTTAAAATACACGTGTATTCATAACAGAAAAGCTTTCTTTTATTGGCTCTCATTTCCTGGAAAATAATTAGAACAAGATGACCTAAGGGGGAAAAAAAAAAAAAAAAAAGCAAGCACTCACAGAAAGAGTTAAAGGACTGTAAAAATGACTTTGAATGAAATGATAGGAAGGCAGCACACCCCTCAAGGGCTGGGCTGTGAATCTGCAGTGGCTGCACCAGCACATCAACAGGCAGCCCTCACTGTCCCGGCGTGGCCAGCAGTGACAGCAGACGTCGGCGCTGGCACCACGTTATCACAGCCAGCACAGACACCTCCAGTATCACACGTCTGGCTCCAAAATGCACCCCTGCCCCGATAACGGGGTTAAGGGATGCAGGCTGAAGGGAGGTGACCGGGTGACAGTGTCTGTAAGCGCGGGGGGACATCTCCCTCCAAATTTGTGAGGATGTTTCTCAGCAAACACCCCTCCAGTTCCAACACTGAGCCCCATCGGACCAGGGATTTAGGGAATTGGTTAGAACTGTCCGACTGCTCGGCCATGGTCACTACCAGGATAATACCATGGCTCTTCACCCAGGAGTCTCAGTACACTGATTTTTTGGAGCTCCCACTTCCTGCAGACACAACAGATTGCTGTTACAGTATAAAAGCCAAGGACCTGATATGCACACCTTCAGATTGAAAGGGGTGTCGATTCCTAATAGAATTATGATTTCTGCTATAGCCACCCACTTGAGCTGCAAGCAAACAGGAAGGAATTTTAGCTTTTTTTTCTCCTCCTCAGGCAAGGAGTGGAAGAATTACTTATGGACTAAATCCATCTTCCCACAGCCTGCCCTCCCAGTGAGACTGGCTAACTTGACAAGGCATCATTATTATCAAGTTATTTCAACTGAAAAAAAGAAAAACCCCAAATTACAGGAATTTTCCCCTCCAGTTTGCACTGCACAGAGCATAAAGCACGAGCATTTTATCGAATGCAGGAAGAGAAGCAGAATTTCACTGTTGCTCACCCCCTAATGCCAGAGCACAAGACAAGGTTTCAGGCACAATATCATGACCACAGCATCACTCTGCAGCCATAGCTCAGATTGCTGCCTGCACAGTAAGATTAATGACATGCAGACAAGAAAAAGGTGCTTCTCTTCTTGCTATAGTTCAGCAGGGCTTAAACTACAACTTAATCTGCAGGTTTTGATTTTAGATAGGGATTACTAGCGCAGATGAGCAAGCAGCAGCAACTTGGTGCAGAAAATGAACAGTATCAGAATATTTTCTAGATCAGGGTATTTTTGTGTACTGCTTACAAAAGAAGTAAAAAAGACGGGATATGCTATTTTGCATCATTGCTATTTTACTTGGCATCAGTAGCATAGCTCCAACACAATTTACCTTAAGGATGATATAACCTAGCAACGAGGCTTTGCCCCCTGCCCCAACCATTCCCAGGGCTAAGTGATACACCCACCATCCTGCAGCCGTGTCTGGTTTCTTAACGCTGCTATTTCTGTCACCACTGGAATGCTGTCACCATCCATCTGCCCGAGCCCTCCATCCTACCCAAGCATCCCTTTTGCCCCAGCACCCCTCAGCAGCGCCGGAGCCTGGCAAACCCCCTCACCACCACCACAGTGTGGGGATCACCATGGCAGAGCAACAAATAACAGTTGTAGGGGCTGCTGCGGGGCCAGAAATAAAGCACAGGGAGAGGTGACGAGGAAGGTGACACTTCTCAAGCGTATAGTGACAAATTGCTGATACTCGGAAAAGCATTTCTAGCTAAGAATTGTTACTAATAAAGTATAAACTTAA